TATCTATCTATCTATCTATCTATCTATCTATCTATCTATCTATCTATCTATCTATCTATCTATATAAAAATTGCTGCCATGTAGATACAGTATATGCAATATTTGACATAAAAGTTAGTCATAATGTGCAATAGCAACAGCCCTTAAGGTCATGCTGGTCAGTAAAGAGAACTTGTTAGCCCTTGTAGTGTTTTTACACATTGTTTTCCATCCCAGTTCCCACAGAGAAAGGCGCCACTGGCCTCAGTAACCTTGGCAACACCTGCTTCATGAACTCTAGTATCCAGTGTGTGAGCAACACCAAGCCTCTCACAGACTACTTCATCTCAGGGAGACACCTCTATGAGCTCAACAGGTGCCATTTAAGTCAATCACTTGGGTATAAATCTTGCCACCCTGAGCCTGAACTCCTCAATATAACCGGCCCGCATTGATTCACAGAACAAACCCCATCGGGATGCGAGGTCACATGGCCAAGTGTTATGGTGACCTGGTGATGGAGCTGTGGAGCGGGACACAGAAGAACCTTGCTCCACTCAAACTCAGGGTAAGCGGCCTCATCACTGTCTCCCACATGGATAGTTAAAGACTTTGACTTACAATCTCTGTGCTGTCTAAACTTGTTAAAGTGCTACTTTATGATGTCATTCCTTCCTCTCCAGTGGACAATAGCAAAGTATGCCCCACGCTTTAATGGATTCCAGCAGCAGGACTCCCAGGAGCTGCTAGCCTTCCTGCTGGATGGTCTGCATGAAGATCTCAACAGAGTGCATGAGAAACCCTACGTGGAGCTGAAGGACAGCGATAGCCGGCCTGACTGGGAGGTGGCCTCTGAGGTCAGAGATCACACTGCTCATCAAATACTATCGTCTACAAATAAAATGAACACTGGCTGTTCAGCTATATTTATATTTCAAATCTGCAATCACAGAAAGAAAGCTATTCCCTTTGATTTTACTGCCACACAGTCCCTTATCTTGTCTGACATCAATCATCATTTACCTCACCATATTCTAAAAGCTCCGTCTTCCCCGTCCACTAAAATGCAAGCTGGCTTAGTCTGCACTTTGTTCCAAGTGCAGAATAACATTTGCGCCTCACAATTGTGTTTCATGTCCATGTTCTATAAACAGTAAATACAGCATTCATGTTTTTACAGTATTAATGTTTTATGTAATGCATTTATACACAACAAAGTCTGTTAGAGCCTCTGAAGACTTGGTTTCAGAGCTTCAGTATTTACCAAAACACTAAAGCTACAGTTGGTAACTTAAATAGAATAACTTACTAGCTGTAACATGAGAACGTTTGTGACCCAACCACCAAAAACTGAGCACTGGCTGGCGAAAACGCTCTCCTTTTACAGCTAAACAGTAATTCAAATATGTTTCTGAAAACATTTCAAGCTAGAAATAGGCAATACAGTAACAGAATCTTGATTTATATTTGATCCGCGCTGCCTAGTTTGAGAGTTTGATCAGAGTTGACAGGCAGTGATTGACAGCAGCGTAGAGACTCGTTGCTCTTATTGGTTGTTCTTTGGGCGCGGTGGAATCCCGCAAATGCCCTGAGGGGCACTTACACCAAAAGGAGGCAGAGGAACCTGATTTTCTCAAAGATTATGTGTCTCATAAACTTTTGTGAGAATATAGTGACATTTCGAGCAAATATGAGAAAAAAAGTTATTATTATTAAAATTACCGACTGCACTTTAAATTGTCTATAATCAATGTTTTTATGATACAAGATATGAAATGGCAATGTGCAAGGGGCTGTTCACAGGTCATGTAAGACCCACAGAGAATTGACTCTTTGCTAAGTCCCCCCCCCTCAAACTCAGACTGGCTAAAATTCGACAATGTTGGTGCAGGGAGGGCAGTTAGTGACAGTGTGGGATCCATGGTAGCCTGACAGAGTAGCAGCAGGGGGCGGGGCTTAGCGAAATTATCAATTATCAATGTTGAGCCATCCAGGCTGCAACATAACTGTTTGGGTTCGATGTCACCATTCTCATAGTGTTGTCTTCAGCCGCAGCAGACAGCCGTTATAATGAAACAAGTGAATCACAGTGGAATGGAGGGTGCGTAATGGAGAAAGCATATTCATGGGTTTCGTCTATTTCACTTTAATGACATAGCAAGCAATGTCTGAAATGTTCAACTTTTTGATAAATTCCTTTGCAAGACGAATAATTGTAAATTTCCCCACTGAAGGACTAATAAAGGATTAACTTATCTTATCTTAATTAATTAAGTAGCAGTCAATGAAGGGGAATAGGCCAGTTATGACTTGAACATCGGGCCTGTTGAGGTAATGGGCTGTTACATTTTCTGGTGTCCATTCGGAGCGTCAAAAAATGAGGCGACGAGAGAAGTCAATACCTTAAAGTTGTCCTTTAAATTGCCAATGTTGCTCTATTGATGTTCTATTGGTCTCCAGTATGTTCTGAGGGATGGATTTGCAGGATCAGTGGTGTGTGATCTCACCATTCTGTCTGTTTGTCAAATCTCCTTCACCCTATAGGCATGGGAGAACCACCTCCGTAGGAACCGCTCCATCGTGGTGGATCTGTTCCACGGTCAGCTCAAGTCCCAGGTGAAGTGTAAGACCTGCGGACACATCAGCGCTCGCTTCGACCCCTTCAACTTCCTGTCTCTGCCCCTGCCCATGGACAGCTCCATGCATCTGGAGATCACTGGTGAGGCGGCTGAAGGAACGATGCTGATCATGTGATCCTTTTTTTAAAATGATTTTTAAACAGCCTGAATCTCATATAATGTTGCTGTGTTTATAGTCATTAAACTGGACGGCTCCACACCTGTGCGCTACGGCCTGAGGTTGAATATGGATGAAAAGTACACAGGCCTGAAGAAACAGCTGAGTGAGCTGTGCAGTCTGAAGCCTGAGCAAATCCTGCTGGCTGAGGTCCATACCTCCAACATCAAGGTACTGAGACTGTTCCACTGGTCAGGCTGCCAAGTGTAGCCAGCACCACAGAGGGCAGGAGGCAACATCATCATTCTAACACCAAAGAAAAGCTCCGTTTACTCCAAATTACAAAAAAAAACATTATTTCTTAACTCCAGCACCACAAACAAAATTCAATTTATATACATTGTATTGGGATGGAGGCAAACATTTTGGAGACTGATGACATCACGTACTAATTTGCATATATGTGGCGCCATTAGATAACACAGAAGGAAGAATAAACTTCAGAAGATTGATGACATTTTTGGGAAAATGTCATCAATGTCATCACACACATTTTGTGTGCGATAACAAAATCAATAATGATTGTCTAAGAAAGGGTACAAGGTTTCACAATGATGGTCTTTATAGTCAGGTTCCACTACTCTTGTTCTCGTTTCGCTGCCTAAAATGCACTTTTCATAACAGTGTTTTTTAACCTATATAACTGATCCATTACACATACACTGCTGTGTGGTGCTGCAGTCTGATGTCCAAATTCCTTGTGTTTAGAACTTTCCTCAGGACAACCACAAGGTACGTCTGTCCGTTAACGGCTTCATGTGTGCATTTGAGATCCCCGTGCCAGGTTCGCCGACGTCACTGAGCTCCCCCACTCTGACAGGTGAGACTGTTCGCTCACACTCGGTCTTTGCACTCTCGTCAGCGTGGATCCGTCTGAATCCACGGCTCTCTTTTTTCTCAACTTCATCAGACATCACCCCAATAGCCAATGGCTCTGCTGCTAAAGACAACCTGGGCAGTCAGCCTGTCCTCATCCCCAACGGTGGGCCCGGCACCATGGTGCCCTGTCACCCAGAGACGCCTCTCTCCAACAGGGTTGCCAATGGACATGTCACACCGATGCAGGAGAGCCCCTTCATTGGATACATCATCGCCATGCACAGAAAGATGGTGAGAGCTCCATGTTCTAAAGCAGTGTGCTGTATTGTACAGTGCAATATGTGCAAACAAAAAATACTGTCAGCTATTTTACAGTTGAATGTCTGAATGCTGTTGGATGTACTGTATTATTGCCGAATTATTTATGATTCAAAATAATTTCTTTACATCATATATCCTCAAAACAGTTCATCGCAGTTGCTCTATAGATAAGCCAGAACAGTGACGCGCCTGTGTTCGAGATGTAACTATTACTTTAACGTTTGCGTCGCTCCCTCAGATGCGTACGGAGCTGTACTTCCTGTCATCTCAGAAGAACCGGCCCAGTCTGTTCGGCATGCCGCTCATAGTTCCCTGCACTGTCCACACCAGTAAGAAGGATCTGTACGATGCGGTGTGGATCCAAGTGTCCCGACTGGCCAGCCCACTGCCCCCACAGGAAGCCAGCAACCACGCCCAGGACTGGTGGGCTGACTGTCTGCTCCTTTCGCCCCACATGTTTTTGTGTTTGCTTGTTTCTTTGTTTTTTTGCATTTGACAGAGCGATGTGTTGGTTAGCAGATCCCCCCCCCCCTCCCCCCGCTTCTGCTCTTTCTGCTAAGCTAACCTAAACACATCACAATGCTATGCTAGTATGTTTGCACTGAACTTACCAAGAGGAAATTGTCAGATCTTTTGTAGCTGTGAAGTGAAGATTAAGAGTGGCCTGAACAGATCCGCACAATCAGGATCAGAGCTTATCACTTTCAGCTATCTAAAGCCTGATCCATTTCCGCTCCTTTATTTTGTGTCATTTACGCCAGGCTCAACCAAAAGGGCCCCACTGGAAGAATAGGACTGAGTTGGTTTTGTTACACATGGCGTCGTGAGCCAGTTGATTGTCCAGTGTCAAAAACAAACAACAACAAACTGTTAAAAATGGATCCACACAGACGGTGTGCTTGAACAGTTTTTTCTCTTCTTCTAACCTGCAGCGATGATAGTATGGGCTACCAGTACCCCTTCACTCTACGGGTTGTGGGTCAGGATGGCAACTCCTGTGCCTGGTGTCCTTGGTACAGGTAAGACAGAGTATTTCATAAACAAAGTAGGGAGTCATGTATGTGGTGTTGATGAGACAGTGGGCCCAATGCAATGACATTTTTGTATTCTTTTCTTAACTTTATCTTACTTTTTTTCTTGTATTGGGGTCGTACAAGTGTGGCACATCGGTTTCCGCTAACTTAAACTAGGAATGTTAGAAATGTCTTGGTTGCTGAATATGTACTGCAGCTGTACCCGTCTGTGTGTGTTTCCAGGTTCTGTCGAGGCTGTGCAATAGAGTGTACGGAGGACCGGGCCTCTGTAGGAAATGCTTACATAGCTGTGGACTGGGACCCCACCGCCCTGCATCTCCGCTACCAGACCTCCCAGGAGAGGGTAAACGCACGCTCAATTCAATTCAATGAGGCTTTATTGGCATGACCATAATATTACGCCGTAATGCCAAAGCACATTGTACTGTACAAGGTGGTACAAACATGGGGAAGCATAGCACACTCTCTCTGACCCTCACTCTCATCCTCACTCCCCCTCCCCCTGGCTGGGAGCACCAGTATAATATAGAGTAGTCGAGGGATTTCAATGAAAACAGCAATAACACATTTTGTGTGTTCATGCTATTTTCTTTTCTTCATTTTTTTCCAGAGAGACTATCTCGGAGTGTGTAGCCCTTTCTTTTCATATAGGTTGAACTGTGTTCATTATCTCACCTTGATGCTCTGTTTACCTCATCATGAAGAAAAGTGCAACGGATATATATATATATATCTAGATCTAGATCTAGATAGAGAGAGCTGGAGAGACTAAACACTTTTTACATCATTCATCATCATTTCATTCAGTCACGTGAGGCTGTTCATTTCTGATTGTCGGGTTTGATGAGTTTTATCAATTAAGAGAACAATAATCATATTCTGGGTTATTTAATAATGACGCCATAATCTGAATTTCAAAACGTACAGACGCAAATAATTCATAAATAAGACGATCGCATTCCGCCGGTAGAAATGGATCCTGTGCTTATAAACAGAACACAGGACACAGTTTGTTAACAGACTACAGAGAGAAACACCTCTACAGTGGTGATTACTGTGTGTATTTATTCATTATTAGTATTAGTTACTGTTATTAAGTACAGTGATCATGTGAACACACACAAACTTATCAAAAGTCTCTCCAGCTGTTAAAGCCGACTGACAGCTGATCCAGCTGTGATCAGCTGTCCTCGTTCCTCTCTCCTTGCATGGTTTCCTCCATGCATCCCTGGTGGGAGGGACTAAGACGCAAGGAAAGGACGCAAGTGAGGGAAACGGGGATGACATTAAGAGACTTGGGATGTAGCCCTTGCAGCTCTGCCGCAAGGTGCAGAGTGTGCTGTGATTGGTCAGTGGGCGAGCGCGTGACTATCGTGAAATGAAACTTAACAGCAGAGGCTTAGTCGGGTAGTGAATCACATCACGTGATGCAGCTCAGCCAATCAAATATGGGCATTCTGACTGAGTGAGATGTACCACACACCATGACACAGAGGGCTGAGACGAGGAAAGACACTGCAGAGCAGTACGTTCAATGCTCAAGTTGTGAAAGTAAAATCATAAGATGATCTCTGTGGGCGCGACTTGTCATTAAGGAATGATGGTAGGTCCCACAGCCAGACCAGCTGAGAACCACTGTCCGCCATGAGCGCAGAAAACATTATATTTTCCTGAATATAAGCTTCTGCATTTTCCAGATGCTCTAGTACTATTCAAATGTATTGTAAGTCTCGTACCGAACGTTACGTATATAGGTACGTACATTTAATACGTACATAGGTACGTACATAGTTACAGCCTTAGAAACTGATAATTGTGGCGCCATCATGTGGTTATAAGGTGGTATTTCAGCTGCAGGACAACAGTGAAGGCCGAGGTATAAAATGCACGGCCCGCCACTGATGGGAGGATACTCAGTATTTGTCACCAGCACTTGTATTTTGATCTCCGTACTGCAGTAGACACATAAAATAAGCTCTTTATTAATCTTTGAGCCTTACAACGAGATAATCTTGTCAACATTTAAGAAGTGAGAGTGAGCCTTCTACTGCAGATGGATCAGAGTGAGGCCGACTGACTGAGTTCAGCTAAAGTCTTGTATTCTCTAAGTTTTAAGAAAAGAGCTAAGTGAGATAAGTAAACCTGCTAAACAGAAAGTGCTTTGGTCCTTCGTTTGACCACACAGAGTTACCAGCGAGCTGCTTAATGCTCACTTCACTCAGCTACACAGGGTCCAGGGACTTACAGGCTGTGCCATTAAGGTTGTCATGTTATTTTGGCTGTTTTTACATACATATTGTAAGTATTGTGGTACATGTCTCTGGGGATATTTGTAAAAATGCTGCTTTAGCTGTATTTTGAGCTAAACAAAACAGGTAAAATACAGTTTGATAACAGAACTTGCATACAATGTCAAATAATTGGCATAGCCTGCTGATTCTGAAAACTACAAATGGTTAGATGCCAACAAATACTACGAATTATTCGGTGGTTTCTGCTCAAAAGTTTTACTCCAGAAATCGATTGGCTTTACCTTCAAAGACAGTTGCAGTAGGTGGTTGTGAAAAAGAAGAATTCCACCTCCCCCCCCTCTCAGTATCACCATCATGGTCTCCCTGCAGATTGTAGAGGAGCACTGCAGTGTGGAGCAGTCCCGTCAGGCCCAGGCTGAGCCCATCAGCTTGGACAGCTGTCTGAAGGCCTTCACCAGCGAGGAAGAGCTGGGTGAGGACGAGCTCTACTACTGCTCCAAGTGCAAGACTCACCGGCTGGCCACTAAGAAGCTGGACCTTTGGAGGCTGCCACCCATGCTGGTCAGTGGCACACTTCTAAGTTCGTGTCAGACCTTAGCTCTGGCCTCGCAGGGATAGATTCTAAATGTGCTTTTCAGTAGTGTTTACTGTTTGTATTGAACGTAGTTCAGAGACAACACAGTATGTGTGATGTGTGTTCTCTTCTTCAGATTGTCCACCTGAAGCGCTTCCAGTTTGTAAATGGCCGTTGGATCAAATCCCAGAAAATTGTCAAGTTCCCGAGGGAGAATTTCGACCCCAGCGCCTTCTTGGCTCCCAGAGACCTGGAGCAGCACTGCCTCCACTCCCGCAGTGAGAGCGAGTGTCTGCTGAGGGTCGGAGAAGACAACCTGTCTTCCATCTCTGCCCCCGCTGGCTTCTGCAACCTTCCCAAAGGTACCATATGTTGATTTAAGCCTGGTATTTAGCTGTTGCTAGCCACTCATGCTCTGAGACTACTCACATTTTTAAAGAGACATATGCATTTTTATTGTTAAGCATTTGTTGATTAAGAGCCAACAGGTTGTGAAACAAAATAAAGTATAGATGAGCAAAGCAGCTAATGGCCCAATGGCAGAGGAGATGTCTTTAAATACATGTCTTTCCCAACAGCCTCCCCTGCCTCTAGCAGGAAGTCAGCGCCTTCTCTTAGCCGGACCAGCAGCCCCTCTGGAAGCCCCAAGACCGGCAGCGGAGGCCGCAGGCCAGGCCGGCTACGCCTGCCCCAGCTGGGCAGCAGACACCGCCTCTCTAACAGCAAGGAGAACCTGGACGGAGCTGCTAATCCTGAGGCTGAGTCACGGGACGATGCGCCACAGCCCGACACGGAGGAGAGCACAGCATCGGCCCCTCCTGGATCAGGAGGGGCGTTCACTTCAGAGACATCTTCCGGCAGCGAGGCTTCCAGCAGCCACTGTGACGTGGTCCTGGTGAATGGTGACAGCAATGGGCTGATTTCAGACTGCAGCACAGAGAGCAGCCTGGAGCCTGACAACCTGCTGGTCCAGCACAGAGACAACATGTGTCTGGACGCCATCTACAACCTCTATGCAATATCAGTAAGTATCACACATCAACATCACTGTCATACAAGTAGTAATAGGCTTTCTCAATAAGCTTCTTTCTGCTTTGAAACAAGTCTAAAATATGTTTCTGCTTCCTGTCCTCAGTGCCATTCAGGAATCATGGGAGGAGGCCACTATGTGACATATGCCAAAAACCCCAATGAGAAATGGTACTGTTACAATGACAGCAGCTGTAAGGTAAGGCATTAGGACACATTTTAGTCTATTTCTAAAATGAAAGCATACTTTCCAACGAAAAATGAATCTGCATCATTCTGTCTGAAGTCAAGAGTCCACTGTGGTAAATCTGCCTCCATTATTATTGTCACCTGCATATATTGAGTGCTGGATTGGAAAGCTTGACAGACATAGCAACATAAAAGGTGGATGTGGATGCAGTGGAACATGCTGCCGGTCCAATCAAAGCACAGAGAAGTTTGGATAAAACACACAGAGGGAGAGCGCTGACATTTTCTGCTCAGGTTCACATTACTCCACTCTATCTTTATACAGCGAATAGTTGTTTGATGCAAAATTAATGCTCTGAACCTTTGAATGAATGGGTCTGGGTAGCAAAATGTCAGTTATATGACAGTGATTTTATTATTATACCAATGACAGAATAAAGGTGTACAAATTAAAACAAATCTATTCAAACTGATTGGAATAAAATGTGTTGTAATATGTAGTACTTGGAGATTCTTGACTTTAGATGAATGCCACTACACACCTTATTAAATCTGCCTGTCATGTCTTAATTGTCTCAGCTTTTGTAACAACACATAAGAGGTTCATTGACATGTACCTTGAGAAGATCAATCAAATACCCTCTGTCTCAAAAAATAAACAATTCCCACAGGAAGTGCGCTCTGAGGAGATCGACGCTGACTCGGCCTATATCCTCTTCTACGAGCAGCAGGGAGTGGACTACTCCCAGTTCTTGCCAAAGATCGATGGAAAGAAGATGGCTGACACCAGTAGCATGGATGAAGACTTTGAGTCCGACTACAAGAAATACTGTGTCCTCCAGTGATGGCCCTCATCTTCCGTCAGCCAGCACTACTCCTGCTCTGAGCAGGAAGCAGCAGACGTTCAGACCACTCTGAAGGATTCAGATAAACTGCCAATGACTAGAGTCGGACTGGTCCCTGCCCTTAGACATGCGTCGCAGCACTTTCTACTCTTGATCGCATATTTTAGTGCAGAGGTTTGCCAAGACAGCAATGAAGCCCTGGTGAAAGCACTAAACCCCCCCCCCCCCCCACCCCCACCGCAGAGATCGGTGTCCACGCCCCACCCCC